ATTGAGATCAGCCTTTAAACCTTGTTTATTATTTAATAAATAAATATTTGGCAATAAATTCTTCATGTAGTGATAAAGTATAAGGTTGTACTAATAGAAAAATATGGGATATGTTGAATTTGGTTGAATTGCTTAATTACAGAAGTTAGATTTGATGATCGTAAAACCGTAAGGCGTGGAAATATGAGATACCCAGGGTATTTCTAATATGAAATAATTTATGCTCTCACGTCATAGTGAAAATCATTGTTAAAGTATAAAAGTTATTGTACAATAATAAAAAGGACAACCGGAATGAATATCGAGCGCTTATTTCTGCGATACTTGATTTCAACTACCTGAAGACGAGCTCTGGATATAATGTATCGCATACTCATTTGTTGCGCTGGCTGTTTGTTTGTATTTAAGAAACATTAAATAAAGTTTTTAATTGCAATACTGATATACTTTGTGTTTTACTATCGATTTCTCGGGGCATCTCATATTAGGAGCACAATTTTTTGACTTTGCGATTTGCTCACTTTTTACATTTTTAATTTAAAAAAAAAAGGAATTTGAATTAAATTTTATATAACATTATCTTAAAGCTTATTAAATTCCCTTCAAAATGACCTATTATTTTTTAAAATTCTGCCCATAGACTTCTAGCATTTACCCAAAATGAACTCGGTATCTCGTAATAGGGGCCTTTCCTCTATTTATTATTGTGATTGCATAATTATGGCTAAATATATATTTCCTTGAGAATTTTGTGATAATGTTTTATCTTTCTCAGAGAAAAGTAATACTGTAAATTGTGACAAATCCATTAACCATTCAAAGGGAAGTAAACATTCAAGTCTTATCTAAGTAATATGTATTTGTCATTGTTAGAAAAATACAAAGAAAAAACTGATTGAAACTATCTATAGAAAAGCGAAAAATTGACGAGAGCAATAAAAATTTTTTTTTTTAAATGTACAATACTATATGTATAAACTAATTACTACGTAAATTAATAAAATATGAAATAATACACTCTTTATTCACAATTAAATATAAAAAATATATATATGCTGTAATAATATGTTAATATGATACAAATTTAGACCAAGATTGAATTAAATTATATAGTACAACTATAAGTGTTGTTATTAACTAATATTTAGCAACTTGTAATTAATGAGACATTATTATATTATAACATGTATTTTATACAGTTAATTGCAATTTAAAAAATTATATAAATTGTTTTATATTTTGTATTTTACTCAGATTAATTTATATGATACTGTATAGATTCAATACAACGTGTTTCACATTGCGTAATATATCGTATGTCTCGCTCGCAATAAAAAAATTACAAAATTACCTGGATACAGCCAATCGCCCTCAGGAAACTTCGCGCGTATTTCGATCTTTCCGTATCGTAAAACGAAACGTTCTTTCGTGGTAAAACGTGCAGATATAACGGGTGGCAGAATGCTGTAGGATAACGCCTGTCGCGTACATTCGAAAGCAACCATGCTCGTACATCTACGAAAAGATAGATTATACAACAAAAAAAATGCAATAGAAATTTAATTTATTTATATTTACTCGTTAAGTTGCAATCTTCCGTATGCGGTCGCATTCTCGCCATAATAGTCTTCCAGTATAATTGGCCTTATGAATAATTGACCATTATGAACTTGTACAAGTTGCTCATGATTTTGATTGTGATATACGCAAAATTCATAATCCTAATTTCAACATAATTAACTTTATTGAGTTGAAATGAAATATACATATATGTCTATATACAATTATATACACATTGTATGAATATATATTATATACTCACTACCTACCGGATCTAATGGCATCTTTATCTCGCGTTTCCATAATGACGCGTTGAAAGAATTGAAATAGTCTTTAAGTAGTAATCGGCCCTCGGTTGGAATTTCGTATTTTGAAGAACTCGTCTGTGTAGTTTCTTGACTATCAACTTCATTTTCTATCGTTATTAATTTGAAATATTATATACATAATACCTCGTTATTTTTATATTAATGAATCAGAGAAATCGTGTGTTTATGTAAATAATCTTACGGGAATATGTCCATCTTTGGTTATTCTTTCTGTGATTAATCCCATTCGCTTGCACATAAATCCAGTAATGAAGTACATCTCCATTTTTTATAGTCACGTCCGAATCCTCAAAAGTCCAGCGGCCATCTATTGCTAAATAGGTATCACCAGCGATTTGACCATATTCATTAGTGCGAATTGCTTTGTTGATGTTGGCGTGGAATCCAAATATTTTTAAATCCGGTGTATCTGTTAATCGCATCATCGTTAAATATAAAACTAATTTTTCTTTTTTATTCAAATATTATTATTTATTTAGATACGTAATTTTTATCTAACATCTGAGTTTTTATTGTTTAGGTGATTCTAATTTTTTAGATAATATACATATAAATATACATATAATTTTTATTATAATTAGTTGTAGTATTATTATATTTATATCGTATTAATTTATGTTATTTGTTTTCTTAGAAACGTAACGTCAAAACTTGAAATATTATAAGATAGGATATGTTGAAAGAGTTAAACATCTTGTGATTTAAACATTTTCTCATAGGTCATATATAATCATTAAGGTCACAATCATTAATCTCTCTTTTAACTACAATGATAAAAGCAAAGTAAAAACATATTTAACATCAATGAAAGTATTGCAAAAAGAGTTATTAGTATATTAGGAATATTTTTTAATATTTTGTTTATATCCAAAGAATTCGAAAATTAATAAATAGATTATTATGTAATGATTATTATTGTAACGAATTATATACTTATTATATTCCGCTCTTTGCGCTTTTAGCAATGCTAATAATTGTCTTAATAAACACATTTTAAAGAGTTTTTGAAGTTTTTCTCTCTTCCAATATTTTTGTTGTACATATCTATGGTTGTAAGAAATATGATAATAATTGTATATATGATTATTTTTATTAATATACGTACAAGAGGATGTTATATATAAAATACTTTGCAAATGAAGAATACTATATTATCCGTGTAAAAACAAACTATACAATTGATGCAAAATAGCTACATACATATAATTCAAACAATCTCTCTAAATTTCATATAAAATTTGAGTAGAACAAATTTAATACGTGTATATAATAACATGTAAATAATTAATAGTTAATGACGTTAATAACTTTAATATTATGTTCTTAGACCGAGACCATGTTTTTTGATGTTCATATAATTTATTTTATCGAAAGAATAAAATAGAAACAATACAGAATTATGAAATATATATATATATATGTATATGTTAAAGTATACATTTATCTAAAATTAAATGTACATATACATATACACATTTGTGATAGTTGAGAAAAACAGACTTGACACGATTGTTGCGCGTCAACAGATTTTTTGGAATATTATATAGATACTTATATTGACGTGCGGAAAAAAATGTTTTATATATAATTATATATACAAAATTTACATATTTTATGTACAATTATATATAATTATATACAAAACATGTCCATATATGTATAACATTTTTCCCCGGGCGGAATTAAGATGAGCGATTCATGTTATATATATTTATTATATTCAAACAGTTATCTTTCGATATAATTTTATTTTCCAATTTAATTACAAAAATTCGTTTCTAACAAATTTTCTACTAGGATACTACTTTTAATGTATTTGTATATAATTTAGAATGATATACATGATTTTTTATCGCGCGTATTATTAAATTATATAAATCAATATATTAATAGATCTCATGTGTAAAATACAACGTTTAATATCAACATTTTATACGTTATCATAAAACATGTTATGCAATAATGATTATTTGTTAAATGAAATTTAATCAGGCATTTTTTAATGTTCTTTAACAAATCATTTTTTATACAGTGATTTTTTAAAGAAATTTTTTTGGACTCTTCTTTCTACTTAATCTTTAAAAGTTTCGCGGTGGTACAATCTTTTCTAAGAGAAAAAAGCTACGGATAAACCTACCGGGTATAGAGACTCGAAGACCTTGCGGCTTTAACACCTCGAAAATCGGATCCGGTAACTCGTAGGGAAACACTGGTTTCACAAGTATGCATGCTAGTACCAAAATCAGTTGAACTATCGCACGATCGACTCTGCGGGAGAGCATGTTCGCGATTATCAATTCTTAATGTTGTACACGCGATATTTATTAAGTACGAGGTCGCGTACGGTGCTAGAAGAAAAGATTAACACATGCATGCGTCGCGCTTTCAATGATTCACTACTGTTTCTTCCACTTTCTTTGCCCCTTCCCTTACATTTTTCCTTATTCGTCATGCAGATTGCGTCTTGTATAGTTTTGGGATTCCCTCGTTGAATATAACTATTATCGATGTCGAATCATCCAAAATACCTGTAAAAACAACTATATAATCTCAGATCATTGTCCAGGCTTTCAGAGATTGATTAATGATATTCGCAGTTGAAAGAAAGATAATCCAACTAACTGTAACATAATAATACCAATGTTATAATTTCACACGCAACAACATAAATATAACGTGCATATGTACGTAATAGCTACAATACATTAATTGTACTGTAAAATTATAACACTGTTATCAAATTACTATATTAATTAATGTTTATCAGGATATGAAAACAAGTATTTTATACAAAATATAATTATAATATAAATTATATGTAACAATTGTGTAAGTGACATAAATATGTAACAATTGTGTAAGTGACATAAAAAGTTGTAATTTTTTTGTAATCCCGGTGAAAATTTTTTTTATAATTTTTATACGAATTGGAACATTTTTTAGAAATACTCAGAAATATTCGGAAAGTTTACATCTTCTCTCAGAATTTTTCATACATGTGAATTCTGAAATATACTGAGATTTCTAATTCCATAATTTTAAAAATATTTTTTAATTTTTTTATAGATTTTATAACATTTCATCAGAAATTATACTTACAAAAAATCTTAGAAATCTTACGATATGTCATAATTAACATATATATGGAAAATTCTGAGAAAAGATGTAGATTTTCTGAGAAGTATTCTAATTCGTATAAAAAATGTGAAAAAGTTATAAAATTATATAGAAATTCTGAAAAATTATATAAAAAATTCTGAGAAAAATTTTCACCAGGGAATGATTAATTACTTACTTACTTTGTTCAATGTTTTTAATATTCGAAATCAATTTTAAATTAAATTGGCCAGTACTAAGGAGCCGTCTTATTCTGTAACTCTTAACGACTGTAATGTTACAGTTAATAGTTAATTAGATAGTTATTTTATTAACTGAATTTCTTAACTGAAAATGAATTTTACAAAATACTAAAAGTAGAAAATAATATAGTATAGAAATTTTTAATAAAAATGCAATTAATGTTAATTTACACAAAATAGTTCCGCGCGTGACGAGTGACGATACCGACGCAGCAAAGTAACATACGTCAAAAAATACCACTGTACATACTAACCGGAGAACTTGTTTAATCGATAAAACTGTTAAGAGAGATTATTTATCATGTTAACCGTTGTGACGAGATCTTACATAATTCCAAGGTTGTCTTGCAATCTATTCCTTCCTAGAATTTCAATCAAAAAACGAACTATTCTACAACTGAATTGGCCCATCAGCTATATTGCAGGTTATGTTAATCACAATTCAATAAGATTATGTTTTTCAAAGAGAAATTCACGAACGTTACTGCAATCATCTATAAAAAATTTCAGTACAACTACTGAGCATTCGACAGAAAAGTAAGCATCATTACGTTATTTGTGACACTTTAACAATGTGTAATATTTGCATGTACCATTAATGTAAAAAGAAATTTGTTATTTGCATAATATTTTAGCGAACTTAGCTCTGTGCAATACGAGAAAGTCTGTGATGAAACTTTGGACTCATTAACTGAGTATTTTGAGGAATTGGTTGAAGCAGCGGTGCATTTGCCAGATGCTGATGTATCTTACGGAGTATGTGTATTGCACTCATTGTTTTTTTTTTAGTAATAGAGGGAAACGAGTTGTGATAGTTCTAAGAAATAAATTAATAGAAGTTTAATTATGTGATTGTGAGAATCTATATAATCTATTTGGAATATTACACGTTGTACTAATTAAAAAATTTATAATTCTTGTTTTGTGAGTCTATCAATACTAGCAATTTTTGCTGCAGGATGGAGTTTTAACTGTGAAATTTGGCGAGCCATACGGTACTTATGTTATAAACCGCCAAACACCGAACAAGCAAATTTGGCTCTCCTCTCCAAAATCTGGACCCAAACGTTATGATTTTGTAAATAGTCAATGGATATACAAACACGATGGCAAAACCTTACATGAATTACTTAATAATGAAATACCAACAATTGTAAAATTTGAAGCATGCTTTGACAAATGTTCCTTTAGTGGTAGAGAGAAACAAGTTGTGATGGATAGTTCTAAAAAATATTAATAGAAGTTAATTACACAATTGTGCGAATTTATATATATAATCTATTTGATATAATTATATTACTAAAGACTATTAGACATTAATGAAGGAAGTCTGATTTACAGAAACTGTACATAAAACTAAATATAAAAAGATAAGAAATCAGTATAAGTGCTGCATTAGTAACGACATTAAAGAAACTTCATGTAAGTAATTTTAATATCAAGTTATATATTGTATATTTGCACTGCAGTGGCAATGAATTTCTATAATAGCACATGTACGTTGTTATTTATTATTATACTTTATATTGCAGCATATATGGAACATAGAACGAATATAAGTTATTTCTGAAAGAAAAAATAGTTATATATTATATATATCTGATATATTTTAGTATATATTTTATACTGATATATTTTAACATATATATACAATAATATATAAATATATTATATATTATATATATGTTAAAATATATCAGTATGTATTAATGTGCTTGATATCACTTACAGGAGTGTATTTTTTCTCCAAGAATGATAATGCCTATTATTTTAAAAATACGGTTGGACATCAAAATTTCCTTATGTCTTCATCTTACAAGACACGGCCACATGTCGCATAATTCGGTTTTTTAATTTCAATTTGTGTATGATCAATAATTTTTAATTGTATTTTAATATGTTTTGCGATATTGAGAAGGATCCGCAGTAGGATCAAACCATAACTATTGTATATTATGTATTGAGTGAATAAATTCATTACACGCGTACATCCAGTGTTTGGTTCTTATCATTCTTGGATTTATTCTTTGGAGCCTGTTAATTCTTTTATTGTATTTTTTATCTTTAAAGATAGCAAAAGTTATATATATATATATATATATATATATATATATATATATTGCATAGTGTGTGTATATATATATATATATGTATATTGCATTGTAATCCCTTTTCAAAGATAATTTACACATTCGAATTATTCACAAATGATTCATATATTAAATTGGTAGTTTTGATATATTTTCGTTTTATATTGTAAATACTAAATATATTTATATATATAATAAACGCAGCATAGAGAACTTGTACGTATGCATGTGCGCGCACGTGTATGTGTTATCGTTATATTTTTTATGAGAGTGATTCCAGCTAATTAATTAGGTTGTTTAATGAATTTGAGATTTGTGTTTAATGAAATTGATTACTGAAAGAAATAAATCTTGAATAGTATTTTTAAGCAAGTTTATATTGTCTTTAATTTGAGAGCCAGATCTTATTATTTTACTTTAAAATTTGTTTAAAGGTCGGTTGTTTCGTCTCCGGATAAATTATTTGTGATAATTTATTTAATAGATAAGTAAAAGATTAAGAGCAAAGAAAGTAAGAGAGTGAGCTGAAGTTTATCTTTAACAACTCAGTTTATATGCTTCAATTTTTTTCGTTGAATTATTAATTAATTGATTGAAATTTTTAAGATAGAATCAGTATCTATTATTTAAAATTTTTAAAACGTAAACGACAAGTCTACGTTACATCGAAAGGTCACTTTTTATTTCAGTTTTATTTACTACACGTAGAATTTGCTTGTGCACAAATAAAATTATAAAGAATCAATTAAATTAGATCGTCCAAGTATAATTGTCTTTTATGTTATTCGACAGAGACCAAAAATGGAGATTATGGAAGATGGGAATTTGGTCGATCGCGTAAGAATTTTGTTACAACGGGATATGGAATATTACCAGGTACCAATTAGATGATAAATCATTTGTGCCATTAATGCAATTTCTATGTTGCAGTTTGTGAGTGATTTAATGGAATTTGTCACGTCGATTTTCGCGACAGCTTGATATCCGCTTCAATGCTTTTAGCGCGTAGATTACATCCATGGTTTCCGAGCGGCATAAAACGATACATCGAAAGCGCGTCGTTTCGAAATTACTCCGTTTGCCGTATAGCACGACGTGATTTAATTACAAGGAAGGATTGATTTATCGGCCTTGTTCTCGAAACTAGAGAATCGCCGCACGTTATATACGCATAGATACACGCATGCAAATCGAGCAATTCAGTTATTTGTCATTATCACGTGTCATTATTTCGCACAACAGGCCTGCACGACATTAATTTTAAATCAAAATGTAATAATATATTTAATAAATAATTTATATTATTATATTAATAATTTATATTAATAATTAATTTATATTATATAATATATTAAAAATTGTAGGAATATTTTAAGGCCGGTATTCATAGTCTATTTTTTTTTAAATCGTTTTAAGTAATGTCTTAAGATGCTAATGCTCTCTGCTTGGTTCATGACATCTTAAGTATCTAAGATAGTCTTAAATATAAGAATCGACTCTATGAATACCAGCCTAAATAGAATTAATCCTGATGCTCAATGTTGTAATTTATAAATAAATTTATAAGCAAATTTAATACTTGCATCGTCTATATCGCGTTTTCCGATGCAGGAGATGCAAACTGTTCTGAGAGAACCCCTCTGCATACGCATCAGTGGTGGAAGACTAGATTTTCCACGGCATGCCTCGTTCGCCGCGATTAAGATCGTTACATGGTGGGAAGCGGACTTCATGACCGCTTTTAAGCGGCCTTCCGGTTTGAGTTCCTCCGGGAATGGAAGCTTGTCCAGTGTCGATAGTGAAGATGGTGTCATTAAACGGATTCAGCCATCCGATTTTATCATGCTCGTTGTTGACACCGCCGAGCAACTGTTAGGTACACTTCCTCCTGACTCCCGATAAGAAATATAAACAGATGTTATAATATTCGAAATAACTATATAAAAAGGTAAAAGAATTGCAAAAGAAAATTGAGAAAAGTTGCTCGTAAAAGAAAAGGAGGAATTAATTATAAATTTAATATTTTCCTAATATTTAATTACATTTCATAATGTAAATTTTAATTTGTTATGAGAAATGTAAATGTGACTACATATGTTTATCTCAATTAATTAAGACAGTAAGGACTACAAGGAGGTGCATGAGGATGACAGACATGTGCTTGAGAAAATAAGAGAAAAAAATATTAGCTATCAGAAGATTTGTAAAAAAACTGCATAAAATTTAATTAATTGTAAATAAAAATTATATTATGCAATTACAAATGCTCACATTACATGTAACTTAATTCTTTATATATTTTTCATATTATATGACATATAAAATTATAAACAGAATTTTATCCTAAATCCTAAATAAATTAAAAATTGTTTAAAATAATATTTTATTTTTAGAAGGATTTTCTTACAGTATATAAAAATATTATTAGAATTTAATAACACATATATATGAAAAAAACATTGATATATTATAAAATCAATTTATAAAAGCAAGAATATATCATTACAAAAATTTATTTTTAGAAAAAACGTTTCAAATTTTTAATATTGATATTCATATTCTAATAATTAAGAATTAAATAACAAAATGATTTATTTTTAGAAACTGTTATAAATTATATGAAAAATATATTTTATGTTCTGGATGTTTAATTCATAAAAAAAATTTTTTTTAATTGGCGTTAAAGAACAGAAAATAAGATTTAAAAAAGCAGGGATCACTAGCGAATTATTTAATTAACTTAGTATTGAATTGTTTTTAAGAAGAAATTTTAACATTAGTTAAAAAATATCCATGTCGTTACATATGTCATTTTAACGTAAATTGACAAATAACATTAGCTAGGTATGTGCTCCGTAATTCATCGTTGGATTAAATTCCTGCTAGAGAAATTTGACACTAAGTTAATTGAATAAATCACCTCTGCAAGGAAGTTGCGTTTGCGTTTTGAATAATTTTTTTTATAATGGCACAATTTGGACTTAAATTGAAATATTTGAAGAGAACAAGTGATGCAGTACTCTAAAACTTTTATTTTTTTAGAACATCTACACATGTTGATCCAAGAATCTTTGGATCACGCTGATCTCACTGTGCTCACCGCTACTCTAGGTGCGGCGGCATTGATACGTAATTGCTTATGGTGTTACAATCAGCACGCAAAAGGAACAATCTCTTCTCAGTCAAGGTGCTTTATATTACAAAAGCTACATTCATTCTATTTTGTAGTTTTTTATCTCAATTTATTACATTCAAAAATTTTTTTCCAAGGACAACTGCATAAAATAGATTTTAAATAGTTTTCCCAGTCACATAAAAATCAACGTTTTGACATTAGCAATATGGCGTTTTTCTATCATATTTGTTACGATTTGTAAAATATAATCTCGCGTATAAAATTAAAATATTGATCTCGCGTATAAAAATTAAAATATTGATTTCATGACACTATAAATGAATATATATATATATAACAGTTATAGATAGAAACAAAAAACATTTATCTTATCTTAAAGTAATGATATTGCAAAAAATAATTTCAGCAAAAACATTTAATTTAATTCTTTAATTCTTAAAATTAATATATTTTGTATTCTTATTGCGAGTATCTACTATTAAATTTATAAAATGATACACTTTCTCTTTCTTGATCTTGTTATGTTTAAAATTTAATACGAAACTAAATTTAATAACTTTTAATCATTTCTATTAATTCTTCTTATGCTTAAAGTCGAGTAATTTGTACTTTTATACACGATTTTGTTCGACTCTTATCATCGCTTTTTCTTCTAATAGTGAAAAGATTAATAAGTCTCATAAAGCGTTTCACGAAATGGCCGAAGCTGTGGCAGAGAGACTGCTCGATCTGCACTGTCGATTAATTTCCTTATACATTCTTAATGAGGCGGATTCTCTCAGTTGGCACAGCAACAAACCATTCTTCGAAAGAGAGCGATGCTCTTATGTCATACAAATGTGGTGGCTGTACATGCAAGGTAAAGCACTCGACTCGTTTTTCATGATATAATTTCTTCTGATATTCCATGAAAATAAATTTATGACGTTCCGCGAAGTAACGTTTTGCAAAACCAATATGTTAATATTTCTAGGTACTAAGGCGGATTTATGGAACACAGTCTCGCCTAAGATGGCACAGCGCGTATTTTCAGAGATGTTAAATGAGTCTC